GTTAAATGTCTGACTTCAGCTAAGGTCATGATCTCGTGGTTCATGAGTTTGAGCCCCGTGTCAGGCTCTGTGTTGACAGCTTCAGATTCTGGAGCCTGCTTCAGATTCTGTGTCTCCCTCTCTCTCTGCCCCTCCTCCATTTGCACTCTGTCTCTGTCTCTCAAAAATAAGTAAACATTAAAAAAAATAAAACTTAAAATAATTATGCCTGGACAATTGGATAATAGGAGATATATAATGAGAACATTAAGGCCTTTATTTAATTAGCTAATGGTAATACATATTTTTATTTAAATTAAATAGATGTTTTGTATGTCCTTTGCTTTTGCAGAATTTTAACTCTCTTGTTTCCAATAGTTGGACATAAAAGAGATTTGAATTCATCAATATCAATTAACCAGAATTAAATGAAATCCCGACTAATATTTACTCCTTTTAAGTGTTTAGAATGAAAAGAATATTATTATTTTTTTTCATATTGTATAATGGAATCTATATATCATTATTACTGTTACTATTGTTATTACACCTGACATTTATTGAGTGCTTGCAAAACACCAAACTCTGGATTTTATTTTGTAAATGCAAAATAATTCTTATAACAATAAATTGGCCTATCTTTGCAGAGGAGGATGGTGAAGTGGGTACATTTGTTTACCCAGCAGACCCAGCCTTGAAAGGGCCAGTGACAAGGGATTTGTGGGAGGATAAAACCTGTTTCCAGGCAGGTTTCCCGCTGTGGGTGGAGAGCAGTTGAGCAAACTAAATATCCACAGTCTTTAAAAAATGTATTTTATTTTTCAGTGGATTTCTTCAGTGGATTTCTTTTGTGGATTTCACTAGCAGTAGGATCTCTTTTCTCTATTCTTCAGTGGCTTTTGTAGTCTTGAATTTTCCTGGAACTTTGTTATACTTCTGTCCCTGTCCTGGGTGTCCATGCTAACAACCGTCCTCAGGGAAATTATCTCCTTTGCTTAATAATATTTCTTCAACAACATAGATGGACCTAGAAGATATGATGCTAAGTGAAGTGAGTCTGTCAGAGAAAGACAAGTACCATATGATTTTACTCATATGTGGAATTGAAGAAACCAAAAAACAAACAAAGGCCCAAAAAAATGAGAGAACAAACAAAAAACCCAGACTCTTAACTGTAGAGGACAGATGGTTGCCAGAGGGAAGGGGGCGGGGATTGAGAGAAACAGATAAAGGGGATTAAGAGTAGACTTACTGTGATGAGCCCTGAGAAATGCATAGAATTGTTGAATCATATGGCACACCTGGAACTAATATAACACTGCATATTAATTAAACTTAAAAAATACAATTAAAGAAAGGCATTTCTTCGTGCCTTTTTTTCTGTGTTCCAAGCAGCTGCTATGTGTGGGAGAATAAACCAGATCCCAATACCCCGTAGCCAGTCAGGTAGTGCCATGATGATCCTAGTGATAAATAACCCCATCAGTTTGGGTTTGTACTACCCTTGGATCCTCCCCGGACACTCTGGCGAGACTGACTTCCACCTGGAGGCAGCCTCCTTCTCTTTTGGGTGTTGTATTTTGTCATGTCCCCCACATTGGTTTCCCTGTCATCAGATCCAACATGCTTTGGATGTTTAGAAGTTTCCAAAAATGTCTTGTGTAATGCAAGCACTCTTTCTTCATTTCAGCACTGTTATGGGTTTATTTTTAATTCAACAACGGCCACATTTTTGTCATGTTAGTGGGATATAGCGTGTGAGGAGAGGAAAACTTGTATTTGGAGTCCGTTCTGTTAAAGTCTGCTGATAGCATATATGAATTTTGTGAAATGTCTCATCTGAGGCTTAAAAACGGATAGTCAAGACTAACCTTAATGTTTTGCTCTCTCTGGAAAATAAATTTTATAACTATACTAATGGTGCTTTGATAATTGTGGTTATTTTCTACTGTCTCATAGGATTTTTTTTAATTCTTCAGCTGTTTTGGTTTACCTCAAATATACTCTGTTTTAAATATTTATTAAGAGATTTCAAGCCTGTTAATATTGTGATAATGCATGTTACAAAAAGATTAATGGTTAATTGAATATAGTACTTTAAAAATTCATGCCTTCTAATTATAATAGACCTGATGTTTTTATCAGAGTATGCTTTGCCATTTATAGAGATCCTTATAACATAAGAAAAATGATAATAATTTTCTACATATTTTTTTTTTATTTCCCCAACTTTCTTTCAGTGAAGTTAAGTGTATATTCTAACATAGGCACATGCTGGGGTTAAGAACAAACCCATATATCTTTAAGACTTGATTCATTGTTTCTTTAAAATAGTAGATTATGCTATGAAGCATTACTGTTTTCATAGTTTTTTATTACATTTTTATCATACCTAGGATATATTACCAAAAAAAGGAAACTCCTTACATATAAAGCAATATTTTTTTTTCTTTCAGAGTGCAGATATTTCTTTTTTACAAGAATTCTAAAGGACAGGTTAGCAAAAAGCAATGAATTTTGGAAATAGTGAAAGGAAACTCACATGGAGAAAATGTATTCATAAATCTTAACAAGTTATAGTTTACTACTTAATATTTATTAATGTTAATCAGAGCAATTATGCATTGAGGAGGGTTAGTTCTGTCTTGAATGAGATTTTTAGGAAGGTTGTCGAACAATTACAGTTTAAGGATTCAGAAATTAGATAGGTTTTCTAAATCAACTTAGTAAAATTAATTTTTCTCTATGTAGATTGTCTTTTCTTTGGTTAACAAGTTAAATTGTAACTTAATATAGTTCCTGAGTGGAAAAAAGTACTTTTCATCTATTGTGAATGTTCAATTGTGTTGTTTTGAGGAAAAAAAAAAAAGATTTTGGCCTTATAAATTTGGTTGTATCAAGGAGAAACATTTTTGTTTCTTTATATGTGGCGTTCCTGGAGCTGAGGTTACTAAGAAACGTTCATTGTAGTACTGTAAAACTGAGTTAGAAATGGGTTTCCTACATTGGAAATGGGTTTTGTAACATTTTTGTTTTTATTTCTTATGCATTCGATACCCTAATGCAGAAAGACTGTATGAATGACTGTGTTTGACAGGTGTGAGTAGAGTGTGTGTATGAGAGAGTGGGGGAGGGAGGGAGACATGGGGGACGGGTAATAATAAAGCTATTAAGTTTTAGTAAGATAAGCCTTTGAGGTCATCTAGTCTAATTTCCTGACTATGTGTATATGGGGAAAACAAGTCTTGGGTTGTGGGGTCCCTTTCCCCAAGGCCACAGCTGACAGATGGTTACTAGCTGAGCTGAAGCACGTCTGGGTCTCACCTTGTCACTACTCCATCACTCCAAACAGTGGATCTCAAGTGATAGCAGTTTGCCCCTCAGGGTATGTGTAGCAATGTCTGGAAATGTTTTTGGTTGTCACGACTTGGGTGCGCTACTGGTAACTAGTGGGTAGAGGCCAGGGATGCTGCAAAACAACTTATAATACACAAAACATCCTCACATCACAGGGTTATTTGGTCCAGATGTCAACAGTGCTGAGTTTGAGAAATCCTTCCAAAGCATGAAGTACATCACACGCCATTATTAGCCAAGGAAAGAATCATTTACTTCTGCTATGAGCTTGGTCAAAATTCAATGAGTAAATTTTTAATTTCTCATAGGTAGGTATTTCCAAGGAAAATTCCTGAAACATTCAGTCACAAAGACAAAGTCATTATAGTTTCACAAAATCTCACAAAGACAAATGTTTCATATGCTTATTATAAGCCTAAGTAATACACCTAGTCGTATTTGTCAGAGGCTGAGTGTTGGTACCAGAACAAGATCACAAGTGCGAAGTGACTACTTAGAGGGGTAGCAGAATAAGTCATGTCATCAGACTGGGCCATGCCAACATTTGCTTAGTGTTCCCATTTAGAATATCAAAATTTGCTTTAAAACTATTTTCTAGACATTGGAATTAGGCCAACATAACCACTTTTTAAAATAATTCGCAACTAATGATAGCTTTAATTTATTTAGTATCAACTACTCTTTTAGCGCTTTATTTCCATTGCCTCCTTACCCTTAGAATCACCATCCATGATCCACCATTTGACAGTGATGAAACTGAGGCTCAGAGACAGAGCTCCCTGAGCACGCCCAACCAACGCTCAAACCCAAGTTTGTGATTAGGATCTCTTCTTTTTAAAGGTATATTAATTAGAGATCAGATTTATTTTTCTTACAGTTTTTTCTTAACCTTTCCCTTAACTGACGAAATACAAATAAAGTTGGCTTTGTGTTACTACTCCGACATTGTCATAGAAAATAGACGATGTGTTTGTAAAGAAATTCTGGACATTGTGAGGCAATAATTCCTCCTTCTAAAAAGTGAGAGAGAAGAAAATATTTTCTGTAATGCTACAATAAGACTCGTATATGGACACGAGGATTTAAGTGGCTCATGTGTGTGAGTAGGTGCAAGGTAGTGTAATAAAAGATGGTGGCTAACCCCCCTGGTCTGTCTTGATGAAGGAAAGACATATTTGTAAGAATCATAATGGGCTCTGATTTCGTGCATATGTGTTTCTAATCTATCGTTTCAAACCACTTAGTGCATTTCAATAAGAGCCAAACTGCCTTCCTTGCAAGACATTTCCAGTTATGGAGACAGTTATGATGCTTTTGAGTAATTCTACAAATATTGGTAAAGCCATTAAAATTGTAGCAATTAAGATTTAGCAGTACAACTGAATTCAAGTGGTGACTCAGGTCCACAGAAAATCTTTCCCGTTTGTCTTACTTTGCCAGTGTTTCTCTATCGCACTTTGTCAGTGGAAGGCACGTATGTGTGATGTTGCCATTATTGATTCTTCCGATGTATAAAAGTAGGAAAAAACCCCAACACTATGAAGAACTTAAAAATCACTGTATACTTATTGTTTTAAAGCTGTATCTTTCTGATTTATTTTCTCGGTAAGTTATTCAATTCTGAGTTACTCTCATTATTTTTGTTTCTTTCATTGCTTTCACAGAACATCCATTCATCCATTATTTATGCATTTGTACCTTCATCACTTATCCATATATTTGCGTATCTGCTAGAAACTCAAAGACAAGTACAATACTGTGTCCTTAAAAGATTTACAGTTCCCTGAGGAAACAGGTAATTAAGTGCATGAATATCACCTCTGACTGTAGCATTCGCTTTCTGTGGGAATCAGGATATGCCTTGCAGAGATTGTGAGAAATAGCTGTGAAATTAGGTAAAGGTTTTGATGGGGGTTTCCAACCTTATGGCTTCTTCTCAACTCCCCAGTTAGCGGACAGGGATCTGATTAATATGTTCCCCGTTGTTTTTCCAGTTAGATAGTGTTATAACTGTCCCTGGGCCTGGAGCTCCTGATCTAATCAATAAGGCCACCGGAGCAGACCGAAGACAGTGGTTTAACCAGGTGAGTTCTTTTCTCTCCATCACCAAATGCCTGCACAAGTCCGGTCATGGTCCTGGCTGCTTCTGCCATTTTCAATGTGGCTTTCATCTGAATTATGACCTCATGACCTCACGATCAAGTCATGCTTCTCCATCTCCAGCTTCCTATCCTTGTTCAAGTAAGGGTAAAGAGAGAAGTGAAATGGAAAGGTATCCGTGTAAGGAAGACAAAACTTTTCAAAAATGCTTATCAGGTTTCCACTTATGTTTTACTGCCCAAACTACCACATAGTTAAGTGTGTCTGTAATGGGAGTCTTGGTGACATAAGCTTTTTCCTTTTTTTTTTTTTTCCCAACTGTAGGGAGGAATCAGAGAAAAAATACTAGGTAGGTAAGTAGCAGACTTCATAGGGACAACCTAATACATAGAATAAAATTGGAATGCACACATACAAAAAAATCAGCTTTCACTGATGTATGTTGAGTGCCTTAAAATATTGAGAACCTGGGGCTCCTGGGTGGCTCAGTTGGTTGAGCTTCTGACTCTTGGTTTCAGCTCAGGTCATGATTCCAGAGTCGTGGGATCGGGCCCCTCGTCAGGCTCCGTGCTGAGTGTGGAGACAGCTCAAGATTCTCTCCTCCCTCTGTCCCTCTCTGCTGCTCACATGTGCTCTCTCTAAAAGGTATTGTAAACTTGCCAAGAAATGAAAACTCTAAGGCTGAATTTTCTCCTTCTTTTCTTATACTCCCCTTGGTTGTTATGGAATATTGAGCATTAAGATAATGAAGATGTTTGTGCACCCATGTGTGTTTGAGTATGTGAGCCATGGTGGCAATGTACTTTTTGAACTAAGATAGAGACACTGGATAACTTTGTTTCCATGATGCTGGTAGGTCCTATCAGTCAACAAAGCATTTGTGAGCCAGACTTGGTAATAAGCACAAAGCAGGATCCCCTTCCACTTTATCTCAAGAGAAGTGAGGTTGTGTTGGAAAATGAGAAGAAACCCTACAGATATAGTCAGATTTTACTGATCAGTGATTTATCAACTTGAAAGTAAAAGCTCATGTGGTAAAACAAAAGTCTGATTGGTGTGGATTCAAAAGAGATGAAAGGAGATGAAATGAAGACAGAGAAATGGACAATTCTTTCAGGTTTTAGTATAAAATAAGTTATTATGTGTGAAGGGTGGACTGGTATAAAGACTAGGGAATAAGAGAAAGGTTTCTAGCTTGACAGACTGCATGGATGGCAACATCATTATTTTAGATCAAGAATAAAAGATACAACAGGAGAGGTTGTGGAAGAAATATAAGAGATTTGCTGTTTGGAAATTATGGATTTAAGTGGCTCCTAGTGCCTGTTCTCATTAGACTATTAGACATGCAGATCTGAAGCTTGATATTCTATTATGGGCTGGCCATATGTGTTTGGAAATTAAATGTATATTAGTGTATTTGCTAGGGCTGTCATAACAATTTACCACAAACTTGGTGGCTTAAAACAATAGATATTTGTTATCTCACAGTTCTGGATTATAAATGTCCAAAAGCAAGGTGTCAGCAAAGCCATATTCTCGCTAAAGGCTCTAGGGGAGGGTCCTTCCTTGCCTCTTTCTAGATTCTGGTGGTTGCCAACAATCGTTGGCTTATAGATGCACCGTTCCTATCTTTGCCAATGCATTCGCATGGAATTTGCCCCTGGGTATCTGTTTCTAAATTTCTCTCTCTTTAGAAGGACACCAGTCATTGGACTAGGGCTCACCCTAATCCGTTCGACCTCATTTTAGTTCGATTACCTCTGCGAAGACCCCATTTCCAAATAAGGTCACATTCACCGGGTCCAAGGGAGAGGACTTACACACATCCTGTCAGAAGACACAATTTAACACACAATGATGTATGAGTGGCAAAAGTGGCCACAGAAACAAATGTGATCACCCAGACAGAGGGCTCGGAGTGAGAATAGGACCAGTGATAGTCCCTTGGAAGCACTCCACCTTGAAAACTAATAAAGGAGGGTATGGGGATATGGTACAGTCAGCAGGACAGAACAAGTAATCCAGAAAAACTGCATTCTGACAAATATATTGTAAAGAAGAGATTTGATAAGAGGGTCAAAAATCTTTAGAGATTTCAGGTAGCACGAGCAGTAGGAATAGGCCATTGTAACTCTTGCTAAATATGGAGAGGGGCAAGTTTTGAGACAGGCAAATAATTTAGGATACTGCAGCAATCCAGGCAGATCCTGATGGCCGCCTGAACCAGGATTTGGCAGTGGGAAGAGAGAGGACTGAGCATATTACTGAAGTAAAGTCAGAGCGAACTGGTCCTGGATTGGGTGTAGACTAGGAGTCAGAGATTACTTCCAGGGTTTTTCTTTAGCAAACTATAAGACTGGGTTGCCGTTATTGAGATAAACAATGCAGTGAGCCCATGGAGAGAAGATGATTTCAGTTTTAAATATGTTGATGACATATCTGTCACATTTTCTACTGGCAGGGTCTAGAGTGCTGGTGCATGTAAGTGTCGGAGACTCAAAAGAGAATTGAATCCAAAAACGAGATACTTGAAAGTCATTTGAAAGGAAAGATAATAATTCAAATCATGAGAATGGATGACATTATCCAGAGAGGTAATAGACTTACATGGGAAAATATCTGATGCACACAGAGCGATGGGAAGGAAAAGAAGCACCACCGAAGAGACTGGGGAGAGCCAGCGAGAAAGGTCAAGAGGAAGAGGAGAGTATTGTGCTAGGATAGAGAAGAGCGTCTCCATGTTGGCAGGGGTGTGAACAGCGGTGTCAAAGGCTGTGGAGATGACAGGTACAATGAGTGCTAAGAGGAGTCTAGAAACTTAAAAAAAAAACCCAAACATGCATGTATGTGAGTGCAAATGTGTGTGTTTTCAGAGAGCCACTTCGGTGCATTAAAGGGAGTAAATGGCAGATGAAATGGGGTTTTTGGAAAGAAGTTTTTCAACTACCTGACCATGAAATGGAGGGGAATGGTAGCTACAAATGAAAATGAATTGACTTATGGACATAAGCGAAATGGACTGAAGCCTTGACAGTGTTTAAAATCTCCTGGGGGGGATTCCAGACAGAAGGAGAGCTCAGAGGAAGAGGAGAGAGAAAGGTGATTGAGCACATCTCCGGAAAAGACCAGGGAAAGGAAACCTGAGCTCAGAGGATTAGTTCCTTTTCTACAGGAGAGTGTCACCTCTCTGTTGCATTGGGATGTAAGGGGGAAGGATGCTGTTAAGTGGAAATGGATGGCAAACCTATTATTCAGCTAAGAATGGTCATCCACACTAAGGAGGGAGAAAGACTAAAGGATCTGAAGACATTAACTCTTCGTTCAAATGCTGTTTCTGTGCTATTTATGAGGAATGTGCTCATTGTGTTTCTTGTGCCCTTGCCTCTTTCTTTGGGCATTTAGTGCTCGTAGTGTCAACCAGAGAAACTCTGTGGTCTGCCACCACCCCTTCCTCAGAGTGCTTCCTGACAGCTGGGTCCTGTCCCTGGAAAATCACTCCTTCCCTCCCCGCCCCCAGGCAGCCAGAGGGCTCTCCCTAGGGGGCTCTGGAGATGCAGCTCACAAGTGTCGCCACATGACTGAAATCCAGGGTTTTGACATACAGTTTTTGTATCATGATTTACCGACTTGAATATTCTATTAAATAGTCTTTCTTTTTTTTTAGCAACCTAATAAAAATCTTCCTGGACCAATGATATTTTCTGTTGTTCCTGTGATCTGTAGTATAATCTCTCTTTAAATCTTATGGATAGATAACTTCGTTTCTTTCTTCTTGGCCATCTTGGTTTCTTCTATTAGTATTACAAGTTATACCCATTGCTGTTAAACACTTGTGGATGAAGGAGTGGGTATTTTCTTCCTTTTTCACTCACAGTACGTGGTTTCAAATGGGTTGGATGGAAGGCTTTGGGTAACCATACTTAGTTAGGGAACATTAAAGTGATTTCATTTTGGTTCGCTTACTTGTGATCCAAAGAGGGTGTTGTATTGGTTTTGATAAAACTTCATAACCAATGGGAATCTTTTTTGAGTTAGTGCGGAGTGGCCTTAATGCTGGAAATAATCCTGTTGGCCAGGACCCCAGAGCTATACAGATGAGAAAAGGATGCAGGAAATTCTGTTGTTTACACATGTGTCTGTAACACTGAGCCGCTGGAGCAGCCCAGCAAGCCCAGAGGGTAAGATGCCTAATAACCTTGTGGTTTTCTATTTAATTATTACATTTTCCTGCTGGAGCAGAGCATGTGGTATTCTCGGAGCAAAGAAAGACAGTTGCTTATAAGATGCAGAACAAAACTACTGTAGGTCTGGGAAACAGAGGGATTAGGAGTTTCTTCTTAAAGTGGACTTGGTTCCTTCCCTCTTTCTTCCATTTTCCACTGTTGGTATTATTTATCCTGACAGCTTGCCATACTTTTCCTGTTTTCAAAAAATAATATACTAAGCAAAACTCAGGTAAGAATTTCAACTCTAAATTTAGAAAGTTATAGATGATGTTGATATTAAAACTTTATTTTGTTCAAATGAATATGATGAGTTAGTCAATGTGCTGGAAGTAACCTATATTCTTAGAGTTTTAGAACAATGTAAAACTGCTATGCAAACCCTCATAATTCTGCCTCATGCATTCAGGGTTATTTTCATTTTGATGGACAGTCCTCATACTGAATTCCTGCTATTGTTAACAGAAAAGTATACTTCAAAGTTACCTGGGTTGTATGGAAGAGATATGGCATAGAATCAAACAATAAACTCCTGTACATAATAGAGAAGAAATGGATCTTTAACTATATGGAAAGTAATTGTAGAATTGAGGAGGGGAAAATGATCTTTGGAAACCATTTGGAAATGTTTGCTTATGTTTCCCACAAACATAAATTGTAAAATGAATGCTAAGTGGAGAAGTCTATTAAATAGAAATATAGGGAAGATATTCTTTAAAAAATGTAATTAGAAACCTGTAACATATGCTGTTGAAATA